GGAGAACCTTGAGACCAGAGTTTTTTCCTTTTTCCCTCTGGGCATCCTACACTGCCCCCTACTGGAAGGAGGCTTCCAATACAAAGCCACAAGGAGTGGTGCGTATACTCCCTGCAATAACGTGTAAAATGTTTTCCTACAAGATCTCTGAGGGAATGTGTCATCAGACCTTGGGATTTGTTGCTGGCCTGAAACGTCAAATGAGAACTTTAATGTTTCCCTTATGCATTTCCTTTCGGTAAAGTATTGGCTCGGATCTCCTTCCCTTCTCTCCATGACGATTTTGAATTGATTTCTCGTAAGTCTTTATTTCTTAAGGAAGTTCATCCTTCATCTAGGCTGTGAGCTGAAAGTACTCTTGTCCAGTTTCCCACCTGCATCTTCACTCTGGCGTTCTTGTATTACAAAAGTCATTCTATGTTAGTTTGCGGTCTAGTTTTTCAGTCTCTTTCTTCTAAGGTGTCCCGTAGAAGTGGCCCCCTGCCGCAAAACCATAAAGTACTTTAAAGGAGGTCTTATTGGTTCATTTATGACTTATCTCAGACATTCAAATCTTCAACTGATTTAAAATTTGCCTTTAAATTTTTTGAGACAAATTTTGTGTGGTCCAGGCTGACATTGAATTTGTTCTGCGACTGAAAATGCCCTTGAACCTGTAATCCTCTCGCCTCCAGGGTTCTGGGCTGCTGTGCCTGGTTTTAATTTTATCGCTCTAGACAGGAAAGGCACTGTGGATCCCACATCATTTTCCCCTAACCCTCCCTTCCTCCTTGACACACTCTGCCTGTGGCTTTAAGACTTTATGGGAGGACACAGAAAGACACCATCTTAAAAGGCGGGGATGGGGCCATCGTTCAGCAATCTGCTCTCCCTATTCATCTCACTTTTCATAAGTTTCATTGACCCCCAGGGCTTTGATCCATGGGCTGAGAATTCACAGTGTATGTGATGACTCCAGACTCGGATGGCCATCTAACTACTTGGATGTCTCCATTGAAATGAGCCCCTCATATGTCAGATGGCCAAGATGGCTCCCATCAAGCCTGCTCTTCCCCAAGGCAGAAGACAGCAGAGCCATGTAGCCTGTGACCAGTGGATGGAGCTGGAAGCAGGGACAGACCAGCTGCACGCCTTTCTTCCTTCTTTCTTTCTCTGCATCTGTCATCCTCAACATCTACTAGCTTGATTTCCAAGCTCACAACCCCAGACCATCTACTTGTCCGCATCTCCTCGACCTCTCCTGCAGTCTAGGATCCTTCGCCTGCATAATCCAGACCCTCCCTTGGGTCTCCTTGTGTCCATTCATGCTACTGAGAGATTTGGCAAACCTTGTATCATTCATCTCAGTCCATTCACCTTCCTCCCTCCCCGCTTCTCTCTCTCTCTCTCTCTCTCTCTCTCTCTCTCTCTCTCTCTCTCTCACACACACACACACACACACACATACACACACCACACACGTTCTTAGGAAAAACTCTTGAGAACTCTCATGTAAATATTATTTACAGCCATAAAATTGGAAACTATTCCCAGCCAGGAAGGCGTCATGAGACTAACATTTGCGGTACCTGGAAGGGACAGACTTTTGCTGGGCAGGAATGTCTAGGGGCTTCCCATAGAGGAAGCAGTGTTTGTATTGACACGGAGGTGACCAGATGCTCATCCCGTGTAATCAGAACATTATTTATGGAAATAAAACAATAGACATAAGTCGTCACTCATTTCTCTGAACACTGGTGTTTTGCTCTTAGTTTAGATTTGCCCAAAGAGAGCCTGAGATGAGACTTCCTCTGACGAGACTCAGGGTAGGAAGGAGCGGGAATGTCGGGAACAAGAAAGGAGTGTGGGTTGCAGCATGGCCAGGATGCAGCCTCCGTGGGGGTTACAGTGGGCATCTGCAAAGCAAGTTATCCTTTGGAAGAGTAAGTTTGGCTTTCTGACTGCCCCTCTTCCTCCTAGGACCTGGTTCCCATTTGTCAGAGGCCAGTTTTCTAGCTAAGTTAGCAGTCAAAACTCATAGCAGTTTGACCTGGGTACCTTACACTGGCACAGTGCCAACAGCTCCTACGGCCCTGCCTCATTTACTTCTCCCAAGACTCCAGGAGGCGGGTGCCATCCTTCCTGTTAGTAGAAACCTGACATCATTAAATAAAGACATCTGGCCTGTACCGGGCACAGAGGAGCAGGGATGTGAGTCCAGCTCTGTGGGAGTTCAAGCCCTTCCCTGGTAGGTTCTCCTTCTTCCCGGAGCATGCAAGCTGGGCCTAAGGATCCCAGCAGCTCTGGGGCTGCTCTCAGCCAGGAGAGAACTGATCTTTATCAGGCTGACTCCTAAGGCTGCTGCTCGGAACATCCTAGAAGCTAGTGTTTGCTCAACACGGCTTCCTGCTCAGATCCAGGACCTTTGAATCCTAAAGTGCCCAGGGAACCTTGCTGCTTTGGTGAACCTGGGAGGTAGATGCACAGACAAGAAATAAAATGTCTTTGGCCTTTGACACCTTCATTCTCTCTATGCACACATGGGTCCTACGGCAACTGGAATGGGACAATTCCTGCAAGTGATAAGAAAACACCCCATGATGGGGCGTGTGTGTGTGTGTTCAAATACAGACTCCAGGGAAAACAGAGAGTACCTGGCCACCTCGTGCCATTAAAAAACAGAGGTCAGTAGGATCCCACTGAGCCTCAGAGTCCTAGAAGAGCCTGAGTTACTCCATCAGCAAGACCAGCATGAACTTCATATTCTCCATTTCCTTACTGGCCATTTGAAAAAAGCCTCCAGTATCTTCCAGTTCCTCTGTTCAAGAGCTAGCATCTACTGTCCACTGCTTGGATCTACACTTGCCCTGTGCCTAGCTTTGACCAGTGGATGGAGCCGGAAGTAATGATAGACCATGTCCATGCCTACACCTCAAGAGGTCTGGCAGCTTCTGGGCTTGCTACTCTGGGAAACCTGTTCCCCACCTGCGAACAGCCTCAGGCTAGCCATCTGGGGCACGACAGCTCCCAAGGAGCAGAAGCAAACCTCCCCACCAACTAGCAAGAGGCTTTTCCGGATCTTACTGCTGCTGCCCAGCTGTGCCCAGCCAAACTGCCAACCAATACAAGCCTGGACCACTACACATGGTAGTCCTCATCACTGTATTGTGAAGCACTTGCTTTCTCAACAAAATGGCATACTATGAGAAGTGTAGGCTGCCTCTGAGAAGTTGATGATAATAAATTTGGCTTGTGTCACTGGCTGAGCTTCATCTTACAGAATTCTAGTTATTATTACTATTGCTGCTATTATTATTAGATGGAGTATTGCTAAACTAGGTGTATGCACTCGGTTGCTAAGCCTGGTCTCGAGTTCACTACCTTCCTGCCTCAGCCTCCCAAGTGCTGGGACTCCAAGTGTGCACCATTATACCCAGCTCCTAACGTCCTCTTTTAAGGTAGGCAGACCCTGTGGTGACAGCAAAAAGATCTAGAAGAATTCTTAAGAAGCCCGCCTGTCCTGTTCTCCTGTTAGGGAAGGTGGGATTCAAAAGGCAGATTAAAAGGCCACCTTCACACACCACACCAATGTTCTACAACCTCACGGAGTGCGTGGCAGTTTTTCCATGGAGGTCACAGTCTTGAATGGAAACAGATAAAAGCTAAGTCACCACACACATACAGTAGATGACCACAGACAGTAACGAAGGCAGAAATTAAAACCAACTGGCGTCGTGACCGAACATCCTGGTCCCAGTTTGGAACTGGAGGTCACAAACAGCTCTCTGAGGAGGTGCTGGGTAGTTTTTGAAGTCAGAGCACAGCATGCTACGAAGTTCGCTGTGGACTTAGGGACTCAGAGGTCCAGAGTAAGTCCTGATCAGCTGGGATGACCGTTGTTCCCAAGCTGATTCTGGACAACCAGGTATTGCATTGCGACATACCCAGGACTTGGAATTATCGCCCTCCATTCCTGCAGGCTGGCACATGCAATAGCAACATAAAGGCAGCTTTGCAGCGGCAACACAGTGCTCATGTGGGGCAGGGCAGGGCAGGGGTGGGGTGTAGCACCCCGGTATCGGCATCACTGCAACTTGGACTACACTATATCCCTCATTAGCAGAGTTTTCCATGAGCCGCGGGCTCACATCTTCTTTACAACCCCCTGGGACCTGTCACAGAATGAGGCACATTATGCCTGTGAATTAAGAGGCCTTTTGTTTCCTCCAGCCAGAAAATATGAACCATTCATGATGGCTGAGGGGCCAGCCAACTTCTGTTTCCAAGCCAGAGGTAGAAGCCAAGACCAGCGCCAGGTTTGTCCTCCAGCTCCCCAAGGTTCCCAGTAGCTCTTGGAACCTCCTTGGCCCCATCTGGCTTCTTTAGCTGTTGCTATCCTGCAGGCTCTCCTGACTTAGGGTGCCATTCTCCATATTGTCACAGACATCAGCAAGGACCCCCTCCCTGGTCACAGACTGTAATGAGGATGCTCACAGGTGAGAAATGTCAACTTTCGATTCTATGTGGAAAATCTGATCCCATTTATGGCCCCAGAGGCCCGGAGCACCAGAGAGGAAGCCTCTTCCCTCTGCCCTTTGCGCCACGTCCATCAGCCTCCTCAGTGGTCTCAGACAACTGATTCTGTGTGATGGGTAGAATCTGTTCTCCTGTGTGTAGACACACACTCCAGAGGCTATGTAGGCAAGGGACGGTAGCAGAGAACATGGGGCACCTCAAATCACTGTTGTGAAATCTGCCCCTCACACAGGAAATGTGGGCAAGACACTTGGAGTGTTAAGGTCTCAGCGATGCCCACTGTAAGCCAATAGTATTCAGGGACTTCATTCACAGCCGGCACCGCAGTCCTGCTTTGACTGCCCCTCATAAGGACTCAACTGAGAGAATAGCTTTAGGCCATGTCCTACAACTCTGGCAACTGCAGCCTTCCTACCTCGATGCCAGCCGCATCTTGGCTCCACCAGCCCAAGGCTCAGACCCCCTCGGGGAGGAGGGGCACTCACCTGGCTGGTTGGCAGGAGCTCTGGATTTCCGTCACTCATCCCCACGTAGGCACTGTCACCATCAAACTAGAACAAAGACAGAAGTGGCTCTCATTAAAATGCTTCTAGAGGGAAACAGGACTTGTATCCCAAGGAGGTCAGGGGATGGTGCTGAGAGAAAGGGGATGTGAGGGCTGCAGAAGCAGGCACCGGCGCCCAGGATGCCAGCGGCCCCTGTTCTGTTCTGTGGCCCTGGGAACCTCAGGTCAGGACCATCAGTCTCACAGAGGACAAAGACAGGCCATGCCTTCTGCTGTTGGCACTTTGCCTTCTGACACAGCAGGCTGCCTTGCCGGTCCCTGAGCTGCCCACCCCTGCAAGTATACAAATGACTAAGGCTAAAGCTGGAATCCCATGTGTCAGGGGAAGGGCCTTGAAGGCCGTTGCCTTGGAGCCAATGACAGCCTGCCCCAGAGACGCCCACCACATCTTTCTACCCTAAGGGACTTTGTCCCCACTTCTGTCTCCTTTTAGGCTCGTGGCCACAGGTGTGAGGACTGCAGTGGACCCTGGCAAGGGGACACAATGTGTTGGAGAACCTGCCGCTTCTGCATTTGGGCAGAACTGCCTACCACGGGCAGAGGAAGAAGCCCAGGCCCCGTTGGCAGTTACTGATGTGTCTCATTTTTCTGATGGAAACCCATCTTGGAATGTGACCTATATCAGAACGTAACCACTTTTGCCAGTCCCCAGAATTCCTCAGTAAGAAGGCAGCATAGATAACTAGCGGAGCTTGTGGCCCAGCGAACTTTCTCTTTTGGATTTCAACATGGCCGCATTAGTCATTGCACAAGGGTGTGCGCTTCTCTGGGGAACTAATTTGCGTGAGCACAATTGTGCAGCCTCCTGACGTAGAACTCTACGCTCCCTCAGCCACGTGGATGTCTGCTCAAGCCCTTCCCTTAACACTGTGTATATCAGCCTGCCCGGAGGCCAGACCCACCCCATGGACTCAGAGAGATAGCCTCTCCTGCTACCACCTCCTGTCTAAAGACAGCCTGTGTCCTTCTAGCATGCTCTAACGTTTACTGTGTTCAAAACTGGATTCCCCTACCACGCCCGATGTTCCCAGGGATCCAGGACTTCATGCTGGGCATGGAGGAGAAGCTTAACCACGGAGCTGAGACATTTTCTAAAACAACAGCAACTACACAGGATGCTGCGAGTTAGTGATACATCATAACAGGAAAACAGACTAGAAGATGTCCCCCAGCTCCTGTGTAACAGCCATCAATTATTAAACTCTGCTTAAAAGACAGCTAGCAGGAAGAAAAAGGCCTGTCCGACAAAACCCACTGTGGTGAATGAATGACTACCTGGCTCTGAGTGGCATGCTTTCTTTGGAAGATTTCAATGGTCCAAAGAGGACAGCATTCTTTCCTCCCTGAACACCAAGGAAATACAAAGAGCGGGCTAGTCACTCGGTGGGGAAGAGACCACACAAGTGCCTTTTTTGCTTGCTTCGCCAGGTTTCTTCCCAATAATGCTGCAAGCTCCCTCTAAGCAGAGACCAAGGCTTTTCTAGATCCTTCCATGCCGTCAGCATTAGCCCAGGGCCCTAGACACAGCAGACAGTTGGCAAGTGTGTTGGAGACTTGGGAGAGGGAAGAGTTACCCAGAGTGAGCAGTGGAACACGGCCTTGGGCAGGAAGCCTTCCTGAAGTTTGACAAGGGGTTTGGGGGCAGATAAGGGGGGCGGGGCAGTGGACTCCTGTGAGGTCACCAGAGTCTCACAAATAGGCTCACCCATTCATGCATGTATCCGACAATTCAAGCAATGTGGAGGAAAGAGCTGTCACAGGCTAGAGGAAAGCTCGCTTTGGCTTAAAGGAAGGACTTTGTTGATGGGCTCTTCCTGCAGAGCCTTGGTCTGCCTCAGTTTGGGGGAGTCTTGGGCACCTCACACAGTGTCCTGAAGTATGCTGGGCTGAGCAGCTGTGCCCAAGGGCAAAGCAGAAGGAGAGCAGCTGTCTCTCTACCTCTGCCAAAGCCATGCTGGGCAGAGAACTCGGATTTAGGAAGTGAGGTAAGGGCAATCCCCAAGGGCTCAGGAGCTTCCTCTTCCTTGGCCTCCGGAACAAAGGCCTGAGGTTTCTCCCTTGCTCCCCTCCTCATGGAGGACTCTTTTAGGTAAAAAGACGAGAAAACCAAGGAAAAAGTCACAGGCTCCCCCTTTCCTTAGACAGAGCAAGGCCTCCTTCCTGCATGTGTATTCAGACCCGAAGGCAAACACATCTCCCCCACTTCCCAGGACAAGCTGAGGGGAACAGAGAGTATGGGCACCTGTGTTCCTCAGACCCAGGCTCGTGTGGACCCACGTCATACCCAGCTCAGCCCCACACACAGGTCTCATATCCATACACGACACACCGATGTGCTCAGAGCACAAGCACAGGGTACATTGTCGGCCTGTGGGAAACGGGCACACACTCCCAGTGCATAGTCAGGAAAGGAGGGGCCGGCAGCAGAAACACACCGCACACCTGCAGCTGTTTGTGGAACTCACACCAGCGCGAAGGCGACATGTATTTCTTGTTCCGAGACACATTAAATGGCGGCACGGGGGGCGAAATTCTGTGTACATATCACAGTTTCTCGGTCCCTCCGGCGAAAGCCATTTCTCACACGACACAACCCTCTGCGTGCTTTAAAATGTGCAGAAGAAACACAGGGGGACAACAGCCTAAGAATTACTCTGAAACGTCAGGACATCCTCTTACCATTGCCTGGAATAGATTAATTTTCCCCATTTCATATTCTAATTATAATTCCTTTCCCCACTGCCATCTTCAGTGCTCATTACAGCTGGAAGATTGTTCTGCAAAAGCCAGGCCTTCATCTTCTCTCCCCAAGAGTTTTGTCATGGAAATGAGTTTTGGAATCTGAAAGAACCCACATTTTTTTTTTGCAAATATTGAATGTGTGGGGATAACCCTTTCATGTCAGCCACCAGGGATAGGCTCACAGAGGCTTCTAAAGGGCCTGCCTCTCTCCACACTGTGTGGTCGCCTCAGGGATAGGAGCTCTTAGGCCTCTATTCCAACAGCCACCCCCAACATAAAGCTTGTCATGTTCTCCCAAAGGATTGTTTTTATCTTAAAAAGATATCTAACAAATAAGCAGCCAAAGTGAAAAAACGGAGGAGCCCTGATCTGATAGAAACAGAGCCTAGCTCCATCTGTCCCACCTTAGGCAAGTTCTTTATAGCGAAGCCTTGGTTTCCCCATCCTTCTGACCCACAGCCTCTGATTCATGATAGATAAAAATCTATCTCATAGATACGTGTTATGAGATGGAGACTGTGGTGAGAAAGATGAAAGAAAATAATGGACAGATTGATGCAGGTACAGATGAATGAGGGATGGACGAGGGATACACAGGTGGCTCAGTAGATGCAGGGCTGGTAAGTGATGGATGGATTGAGGTGCTAACTCATGGAGGATGGATGAACGGATGGATGGATTGGTGGCTAGATAGAAAAGGGATAAATGAATGAATGATGTAAGCATGTTTATATGGATGGCTAGATGGATTGTGTGTGAATGCATAGATAAAGGAAGAAACCAAAGAATGATGGGTAGATGGATGGATGGATGGATGAATATATAGATAGATGGATAATAGGTGGATTGGTTGATTGATCAATTAAAAAAGGACCAATGAAAGAATGATGGTCAGGGGAATAGATAGGCAAATGATGGTTGACGGGTGGATAGGTGGGTAGAGGAATTATGGGTAGAGAAGTGTAAGATGGAGGATACATGGATGACAGATGACGGATAGTATAAATTCTCACTGTCTAATGGAAATAAGGTACAAGGTAGAAATGTGAGCCACATGAGTAATTTACATTTTTCTAGTAGTCGCGATGTAAGAACAGAGGAAACTCATTTTCATAATGTACTCTATTTATCCTAGTATGCTTATAATGTGATTTCAACATTCAATTAACATTAACCTATTAATTGTTGATTAGATGGCTCATTAGTGGAGGAATGAAAGGATTGCCTGTTCATTCACTGATCCTTCGGTGATGGATGGATGGGTAGATGGAGTTGGGATTTATTGATGGGATGGTTGAGTCAAGAGGGAGTGGTGGACCTCCACTCCGGCCCCGGGGGGCCCTAGGTGGCTGGGAGATACCCAAGCATGCACCACAGCAAGCACCACTACAATGAACAAATACAACATGGGGAGATGGGAAAGATAGCGTTACATGGCGGAGAGATGGGAGAGAAAAGAGAAGCAGAGTGGTTCCTGTGCCATGGAGAGAGGTGAACCTGGAGATGTGTGAGAAACAGGCTGAGAGAGGAGCCTGCACAGCCCCCTGCACAGCCCCCTGTACAGCCCCCATGGTAATATCCAGGCCTGGGCTACTGCAAAGGGTCTAGGTCTGTGGTCCTACTGTAGCCAGAGTCTGTGTTGATGTCTGTGACCCATGTTACCACCAAAGGCCATGCAGATATCTGTGGTCTGGGCTGCCGTCCTCAAGCTGAGCGGGCCCCACCCTCACTGGCTACAGGAGAGTTGATCCCACCCCTCTCTCGCCTGAGCACTCTGGAAAGCTGGTCCCACCCCTCGCTGACCTGCAGCATCAGCAGTGACACGGGCACAGGAGAGCTGCCCCACTCTGTGGTGTGGGTATGGGAGAGCTGGCCTCACCCCTCTGGGGTGGGAAGGCCCAACAGAGCCCAGATCCAGGGCCTTGAGTTGGCCCACCCCAACATCTACCCCATCTGTGAGCTGCTAGAGAAAGAAGGGGCTGGTCCTGCAGAAGCACGGCCTCAGGATCTCCATGACTCTGGGCAACCCCATTACATCCAAGAGGACTTTTGGTGAGGGTCCAATATCAATGGTGTAACAGAAGCCAGAGGCCTTGAACCAGGCCAGTGACTCATTGCAATGAACATTCACAGGTAAAGCTGCTTGGTGGAAGGGTCCGCTGCACGACACCCCGCAGTTTCCAAAGCCACCTTGAGGAACAAATGTGTGACGGAGACTAGGGAAAGACAGAGGAGCGCGAGGTA